TAGAGATTTGGGATTTGGGGGACTATCGGAAGGGGGAACTGGCGTTTTTTGTCCCTTGTTTTCATGTTTTCTATCTCTCAGTTCTGTTTCTCCGTTTTGTTTTTGTTTTGTTGTTTCGCGTGCGCAAATACCAAATTTGCATGTTTCCCTGGAGGGATGGGATGGATGGATGGATATCTACGGATGGGATGGACAGTCGATCGATTGGAATTGCTGTTTTTGTCTTCTCTTCTACCTGCCTGAGGGCTGTTGATTACTGTGGTTTGTCTTCTTGGTTGGCTGTTCGGTGGATTGGGATGGGATGCGTGGTGGGAGTTCCTTGAACGCGTGTGTGTGGATGGTTGATATGGTTTGGGTATTGCCTCCCCCGGCTGCCCGTTGCGTTGCACTTGTCGACTTGTCGATTTCGGTATGCTATTTACCTACCTATATGGCTTGGTGCCCTGGCCGCGTGGTAGCGGCTGAGGGTGAACATGATTTGTTTCCCTCGCATTCTTTTTTGTCTGGGTTCCTTGCTGTTACTGCCGGGTTGTGATTCCTCAGCAACGTCCTTGGTCTCTTTGCCTTATGCGGTGATTGGTGGGTGTAGGGTTCGGTTTGGTATTGGTATTTGGCCTTGAGCGTATTGGGTTGGCGGCGGAAGCGTGTGTCGAAACGAAAGGGGGCAAAAAAACTGAGGTTTGTTTACAAGTTGGTTTTCTGGGGGACGCTGGCAATAGCGTGACTCGGGCTCTTCAGCAACAGCAAAGTCTTCGATGGGCAGGGAGACCTCTATGGTATGTCTGGGATAGGTATGGGGTACTGTACTTGCTGAAGTAGGTGAAAAGGCTGGTGTGATTATTCGTTTCGGTTGAGACTTTAATTCAAGGGGTGGCTATACAAACAGACCCCTTTATCGTTTGGGGGAGGTAGTCTCCAAGGGGCCTATCTTATTTCTTCTCCCCCACGCTGTTTACATCGCGGAAGAGACAGTGTTTCCGCTGGGTCTTGGGCACTCTGCCCGCCCTTCTCTTCCATTCCAACTTTCATGACTTCCCGCACACAACACCAACCGCTACCTAGTTATTCCGCGCGCCCGAAGGCATTTAATCCAGCCCACCGCTGCCTCCTTCCAGCCAGAGTCGAAAGTCAGTGGCGCAGTAGTAACAACCGCAACTTGTGGGCGCCATCGGGACACCACACTGCGGATCGTGCAAAGGTAAGCCGCTCCTGGGTTCGACTCTTGCTACCATCCCTTTTGCTTCATTTTTGGTCTTTTTGGACCGGAGTCATTCAATCAAACCCCCAACTTACTTTCTAAATTAATATGACTACTTGCGTAGGTGAGAGTGAGGTGACTACACGCCTTCCAAATAGAAAAAAAAGAAAAATTAAAGAAAAAGGAGAAATCTCTTGCTTTCTGGGCATCTTACCTACCTTCCATTTCTCAACAGCCAACCATGGATAGGAATCCATCGATGATTCAACGAGCCCAAGAAAACCGACCGGTCTCCCAATCAATACCATCAGCATCACACGCCCTTATCTTGTTCTGCAATCATCAGGCACGATCGATCACACAAGCAGCTTAAACGGTCATTAAATCATATTGCCACGGCCAAGACATAACAAATGTCATATAAATTTCAACACGCACACGTCAAGCTCAAAAACAGCTCACTCCTCCTAAACAACTCTCGCCCCAAACACCACTTCAAACCCCAAGGGAGACAGACAGACAACTACCTGACATAACCCCCCGCCTCCCCCCACCAGACCTCCCGTTAAACACCCCCAATAGGTAGTCAAGCTCTTTCCTTCCTCACACCTATCCCAAGCAACCAGCAGCTGCCGAGGACCCCCCTCCTCTCTCTCACCTCACACCTCACTGAGGTAGCCAACCCCCGACAAACACCCACAGCAGCACAGCCTCTCCCAGCCTACCGGTCATCCACTCACTCCATATGAGGCCCCCAATTCGAGCAAAAGCGGATCGGGAAATCGGAGGTGGGAGCGGTGATGGGGTGTGGGGGATGGTGTCATGCAACAGTATGCGGAGGGGGGGCTGTGCAAAACCTTATTTTGACGGTAGGCTACTTTAGTGTTGAGTGCTTGGGTTTGATAAGCGAGAGAGCTGTGGTGCTGAAGTGGTGGCTACTGGAGAGCTTAGTCTTGATTTACTTGGGGGAGTACATACATACAAACAATGGAGTGGTGGTGAGTTGGTGAAACACCGATGCCAAAAATCACCACAGGTATGGGGTGTATTTGCAAGTCAAGGGGAGTGGGGAACTCGGAAACACTCAAGTCACTCAGTATCCAGTGCCGATGCGTGTCAGTCGGTTTTGGGATCGCGGCTAGTCTGTTTCGGCTCCTAGAAGGATGCAATAGCTGTGGGGAAGGACAAGGTAATTTTGACATCGGGCCACTGCTGTACAATGGGTGACGCAATACAGGAGCGAACTGGTCGTTTGCTAGGCGCTGTTTAGAAATGGGTCCAGTCACTTCCACGGGGCAGACGCAGTCCCAGTCTTATGTCCCAAGCCAGCAGCAGCCCGTTACCTAGAAGGGACCCCACGGAAGCAACACATAATCACGACCACAGCCAAGCAGTCACCGCAATACCCGCAACAAAACTATGCGTGACAAACCAGTGGGCACATCCCACACATTTGAATTCGTCATCTGCCTCTGTCCACAGAGACAAGTTGGTATCAAAGCTAAAACAAACCACAGACAACCAACCACGAACCCAGTTCCAAGACAGGCAGGCAGATCTGCTGCATAACTCATCCATTCGCGCACACTCGTTATCAACATAAAAGGCATCATAACAGCGCCACCCACACTTAAAAAACTCAAACCCGAACCTCGGACTTTTCGTCGTCCTCGAACTTGGCCTTGGAGACCTTGTCGCCGATGGCGCCCTTGGGCAGCATGTTGAGCTGGTCCTCCTGCTTGTCGAGGTGGCGGAACTGGATCCAGAACATGGTGCCGCCAAAGACGGCAAGGATGGCGACGACGGCATAGTTCCAGACGAGGAGCGGGTCGTCGGCGAGGGGCACGAGGGCGAAGCCGATGGCGGACGAGATGGCGTTCATGAACAGGGCCACCGACTGCACCATGGAGCGCATGTTGGCGGGCGCCTTGGAGTGGGCGTACTCGAGCGAGGTGATGGAGGCCATGATCTCGGAGAAGGCAATGAGCACGTAGGAGCCCGTCTGCGCCCACATGCTGAGCGGGGAACGAGCGCACTCAACGTCGGTGCCGGGGACCAGGCCGTTGGCGTAGTTGCCGCACTCGTTCTTCTGGTAGATGTAGTATTGGATGACACAAGCCCAGATCATGGCGCCGGCCGCGACGTAGTAACCGATGGCAATACGCTTGAGGGGGGTAGGGTTAATGCGCATCTTGCGCAATGCCGGGTAGACGACGCTATCGAGCAGCGGAATCATGATGATCAGGGCGAAGGGGTTGAGGTTGTTCATGACATCGTTGGGAACGCCGCCGACCTGCATAGTAGCGGCCTGCGAAACCAAGTTGTTGTTGACTAGGAAGCGTCAGTACGGCGTCGCCGACAGCAGCTGGCGAGGGGGGCGGTAGGTAGCTTACTTTGGTTGTAGCAAAGCCAGAAAAGGGGGTACCACAAAAAGACAGCGCAGGCGTTGAAACCACGGTGAACCTCGTCAACCCAAGCGTCATTGAAGTCCATCCACTTGGGCTTGGAGGCAGCGTCAAACTTGGACGGCTTGACATTTTCCCAAAAGGTGCCGTCGTGTAGTTGCCGGTATGTCTTAACGGGGTTGATGGACCAGCGGCCCTTGTTGGCGAGCAAGAAAAGCTTGAAGGACCGGCCGAGGACGGAACCTTCGGGCGGGACGCGCTTGTAGCGACGGCGGCCCCAGAGCAGGACCAGAGGGCAGAGGGAGAGAAGGATGGTGGGGAGCGTGAAAGACAGCCAGAAGCCGACGTAGTGCTCGCAGTAGACCATGGCGATCTGACCGCACAGGGCGCCGATGTTAATGAACAGGTAGAAGTAGTGGTACACGCGCGAAGCTGTCGCCGCGGGATCGACGACAACGCGCTCGCCGCCCGGCAGTGTCCTGACAACCATCCTCTCGAGGTCGAGCTGCTCGACAATGAGGGGGTTGACGTTGGGCTTGAAACCACCAGTACCGATACCCATGAAGATGATACCGACGACCAAGGCACCCAGGGAGCCGTTGGGGTTCTTGATAACAGGAGGAAGACCGGCAACGATGAGGATAAGGTGGCCAAGGATGTCGATTAAGAGGGCGGTACCGATGGTCCGGAAGCGGCCGAGGTAGCTGTCGGCAACCCACGCACCAAATAGGGGCATGGGTGTACTGCCAGAACGAGTTGAAGGTGGTCAGGGCAAACGCTGTCCTCTGGCCGAGGCCCAGGGCACCAGCTTGCCCATGCTCGATGTCGTAGCTGGCGCCAGTGGTCGAGTATTCAGGCATTTTTTGCTGGATGAAGTTGGTAAAGACCGCCGTCGTACCGTAATACGAAAAGCGCTCGCATAGCTCGATGAAGGCAATGGTATAGATGCTCCAGGGGATCTTGTCAGGCACTCGGCGCAGAGTGTGCAGCTCCTCCTCGGTCGGGGAATCGCCATCAGCAGTAGCGACGCTGATGCCTAGATTGTTGTCTTCCTGAGCGGACAGGGCGGGGGCCAGCTTGGTCTCCTTGTCCTTGACAATGGCGTGGACATCGTCGCTCACAGCGACGCTGGTCGGGTCTGACGCCATGGCGGAGGGGGGAGCTCGTCAGTACAGTGTTGGACTGACTTGACGAGGAGGAGGAGGAAGGAGGAAGAATCGAGTTTGACAGCTGGAGCTGGAAGTCGCAGCGCGGCGACGAAAGATGGGGAAGCCATATAAATATAGGACGTCTCATTATAGTGAGACATCCCCGCACGGGAGACCGAGTAACATGGGAGAGAGACATTTGGGATGGTCAGATACCACCTTGGAATTTCTGAAAGTGGTGAAGTCCCTCCGGCCGAGCAATCAGAGGACGCGCAGGGCAGGAAGATGGTATGGAGACGCGGGGTCCAGGCGGGCGATTCCTTACGGGGCCCGAACGGCGAACCATGCGAAGGGAGGAATGGCCACCTCTGGAAAGTGCAGAAGTCTTGGAACTCTTGCCACCTTCCGAGATGGTTCAAGAGCGCCAAGTGATAGCGGGCGGCAGGGTTGTATCTCGCAACCCCTCCATGCTGTTGATCACGCGAAGGGGATGAGGCGATGGACAGCTGAATTGCCCCAGGCGCCGAGAACCCGGGACAATTGCTGTGTTTACGCTTCTCTCACATGGTGTTGCGATACTCAACGGGCATCAAATTGGGGCGGATATCTTGGCGTGCCAGGCTTGACGATGCTGAGACAGTGGCGACTTGAGCGAAGCTTTCGCCGACACGGAACGACCGCTTGGCTGCGGGCGCCAGGACGCAGCCACGGCAGCCGCCCGCAACGGCTCAAGGTTTGGCGGTCGCACTCTGGAACTGGAGAAGCGCAGAGGCTGGGTCAAGGATGGTAAGGATTTGCCATACACACGGAGAACTTCCTAAAGCAACCATGCCCAGACCCTTGGCGACCAACACCCGACTGGCTCGATAGGCCGTGTCATGTCTTGAGTGCCGCCGAAGGCGCTTGGCACACCCGGGTCCGTTGACCCGCCAAGCGGCGCCGAGGCATGGCGACCTGAGCGGAGGAAGCTTCGCTCGCCCCACAGAGCTCGCGCCGTGTTTGTCGGGATTTAGCAGCTGATGGCCGGCCAGGATTCGCCGCTGGCGCTGAGTTACCCCTTCGCAAACCGGAATAAGTGTACCTACCAAGGTGTCTGAGCCTGGCCCGAGTGTCCACCGGCTCTGGGGCCAGGCTCAGCCAGGGCAGCCCAGCCAGCAGGTACTGCCCGGTGACCAGACCGTTTAAACGAGCCGGCTGTTGTTTTTCGGTTACTCCAGGGCGGCCTCGAAGGCGAGGGCCGGGGGAAGAGGGAAAAGTCACAAGCCCTCGAAACCTGCAGGCCGTCCGTCCGACGCTATCGTCGGAGTACTGTGTACTACGAACAGCACTAGCTTATCGGCGGCCGAGTCCGAGCCTTCGTACCCGAGCGGTTCGCCCAACCGAGGTGTCGCCATCTCGTTCAGGTTGTTGGGAAGCTTCATCTCCTTCCCGAACGGTACGCTGGGCATCTTGGCCTTGACAAACAAAATCGAAAAGTTCGGCCCACCGGTATGGATGTGGTCTGGTCCACAAACAAGAATTTTCCTAGCTGTTTTTTTTTTTTTTTTTTTGAAGTTCGCTTGCTCGCCATCATCCATCTCATCTTATCTCGGGGTGAATACCTGGATTGGAACCCACAGTTTGGCTACCGGCATTTCTTGTGGTTACACAAAGAGAATTCGATTCCAAGGAATGGAGTTGACAGATGCGAGGTCCCCAATGAGACAACCGCGAAACATTGCCGTCGTACCGACCCACCTGACCATGTCGTATCGTGTCTATCCGATCTGGCAGCGCGTCGGTCAGGCTGCATAGCTGTTTCGCGGGTGGAGGAATTCGGTGGTTGATTTTGAGGTGCCGTGAACTATGGAGGGAAATTCCCCCGTCTCTTGATTAATGTGGCTTGAAGAAAAGCCGGAAAACAAAGCACATCGCTCCTGCCATATGGTCCGCCAAGCATGGCGCTAGCGGGGCACTTACACAAGAGTTACACCTGCCAAATTGGGAAGTTTGGACAGTTTGGCCGACGGCACCAATGAAATTATCTAATGCGACTTTTTTGAGGGGGATGGATGGAGCAGCCAGTTCCTGAGAAGAAACGAGCGTGCATCGACACAGAAAGACACCTGCGGCCCGGTCCAATAGTTACGTGCCCTGGTGCCCTCACGGTACCCCAATGGTAAAATCATCTTTGGGATCCCGTATGTACACCCACCATAAACTTCGATCGACTGGATCGTAACGTGACGAGTGGCAACGTTTTGTGCCGTGGAACTCCGAAGTTCCGCGGGGATAGGATATCAAACCCCCTCAATAACATGACGTCAATCTCTTCCTTCTTTTGCGGCTCGGCTATCACTGCCGTACTCACGCAGCGTCCCGAGTACCTGTCTGCACCTGCTCAAGAAGAGGTTTTTTAGATTTTTGGCTGTCAACCTGTGAGTCCGGTGTTCCATGCTGGAGGGCTTTGTTGATATTGATGGGACCCGCACCTTTTGGTTTCGTGGGGAATGTGGAGCGCTTGGCGCAATGCATCGCCCTGGAAACTTCTCTCGCAGGAACCGATTTCCATAATTAAACCTACCCAAGCGAGCCAAGAAAAGAATGAGAGAACCGAAAGCGAAGATATCTACCTTGGTGGCTCGGATGTATGCCTTTTGCTTTGGATGGCCACTGACTTACGAAATACGATGAAGGACAGTCAACCACTACGCCTAGGTAACCGAGACAAACGCTCACTTATCGCTGGCTGCCACGGTTCGGGCCGAGAACGTGACTTCCGATCCCGGCCGCTGAGTTTCTCGGGATGGTGGACGATGGGGACAACACCGACAACACCGCACGACGATGCCGGCGAGGCCCTTTAGACAGGGTGCAAATCTGGCTTGGTCCGGTATGTGATTCCTTGACGGGGCTCATTACTTCCCTTACTAGGGAACCTGTTTCGGGGGCTTTTTGAAGGATGTTAGTTATCGGGGCCGCCGCCACTGATGGAAGCTGAACTAAAAAAACTCTCTTGAACGGTAGTTATGCCCCTTCCCAAAATCGTCAACCCGACATTAAACGTCAACGACGCACACAACACTGTTCTTGACTCCCGTTTGCCCTTGCCCTTGCTTATCGATATACTGACTTGCGTCCCAAGACACCACCGACGGTGAGCCCAGTCTCAAGGCTAACTCCTCTTCCCACCCTGAGTCATCGGTAAACTGTTATTGTTTCGTCGAATCCAGTCACATAACGTGTTGGTCAGCTGTTCACTGTCGCCGAGGAAACGAGGCAAGGGTTGGGTCACAGCCATTGGAACAAATCCCCGGCGCAGATGCGAACGAAACCGTCAGCTATAGCAATCAAAAGAAAGTCATTCAGAAACCCAAAGCTATTCCTTTCTTCCCGATCTTTTTTCTTCTCGATCCTTTTTCTTCTCGATCTCTTTATTTTATTTCTTTTTCTCGGTTTCTTGTTCACCCCTCGAGTTCGGCTTCTTTTTTAGCCAGAAGGTGTGGGCAAACATTAGGGTTCCTAACTTCATCCAACGCTCAAACCCCTGACCCCTTGGGCTCCCATGGACGACTCGCAAGCTTTAGATCCGGCTGCGCGCGACGAAGCGCGGCAAAAATTCTATTGCATCGTTGAATACTTTGACCACACCTGCGACTTGGGTTCTACGAAGTCGATGGGTGGGAGCAGTTCTCGATACAGCTGTGCCAAACTCATCCGCTTGACACACGACTACGCCATGTCGCCTGTTTTACGGGACACCTACCTACGGGCATTCTTTCACGCCCTAAAGCTGCCCATGGATATGGATAGTGGCGAAGATGTTGAGCGCGATTTGGACGAGAGGGCCCAGGCGAGGTTTCTCGCCTTTGCGGATTATCTACTGAACAACTTTTTTCTCCCGAGCAGGCCATCCCACCTTCCAGCTATCTAGGCGTATGCTAATGCATACCAGTCAAAGCATCCGGCCGCACAACGCCCCAGCCGTCCCCAGAGTTTTACTCCGCCACACCAAGCCCACAAGATGGCGGCGACTTTATAGAGACCCCAAATCGGCTCTCAGCTCTAAACGATGTCTGCCTTATTTGTGACCGCCACCGCTGCGTCGTAACACGCAAGTTTGACTCGGCCGAAGCCCAGGCGCGGCTCAAGAGAGACGGCGAGAGCGCTCGAGATGACGATGGTATCTTGTTCGAAGATGACCCGAAACCATTTGACCTATTGAAAGTGGCCCACATTCTTCCACGGTCCTTGACGAGGTCCAAGAAGGGCACGGAACTGGTACGCCAAGCGACGAAGCTGTTAATACAACGTACATATGTCTAACTTCATTTAGAACCCCTCGAAGCAAGCCGCACTATCGATCCTCAACATGCTTGACGACGGAGTTGTCCACATGATCGGAGGAGCCGACATCGACAAGCCCCGAAATGCCGTGACCATTAACTACAATCTCCACCATTGGTTTAGCAACTTCGATATCTTCTTCGAGCCGGTTCCAGATGCCGACGACCAGACCTACCGCATCGGCTTTTTCCTTCCACCTATTCTCGTGAGGGGCATCCTCCCCGTCGTTCGCACGCTCCATCTCACAGACGAGCGCACAATCGAACCCCCTTCTCCCCGGCTGCTAGCAGTCCACCGCGCAATTGCGCACATTTTACATTTGTTCGCGGCGGGCGAGTATGTTGATACGATCCTCAAAGATTTGGAAAAGGCCCAATGGGAGTGCGCGGAGCCGGACGGGTCGACTGACCTGGGGCGGCTGGTGCATCTTGGACTCTGTCTTGACGGCACTATCAAGGCCTAGGTACTGAGATGCTGCCCGATGCCTCCTAAGGTATTGTTAGGTGCCGACTAAGACACTGTATGATGTAATAATAATTGTATGAATCGTGATACGAGGATAGGGGAGGTACGTTCAGGGCTCTTTACATTTCCGTGCCCGCCGCCCGCCGCCCGCCGCCTCTGTTTCCCTTTCTCTTTCCCCTTCTTTTTTTTTATATACTCGGCGTACACTAAATGCGGATGTAGTTATCCGTCGTCTGCTTAGCCACGACGGAACTGTTGCCCCTCCTTGCCGTCGTTGTTCACCCTTTGATAGATGGCGATCCGGCTCGCCGTATTGTTGTCAGTATCCACATGGCTGGCCCCCTGGTCTACCAGACTCCGGAAGCCGCTCATCATACGGTCGAACTGAAAACCCTGAAGCCCGGCTTTGACCTGGGGTGGAATAGCCGCCATATTAGCTCGCTAGGTTCGTGGCCCGCTAGGTGCGCCTCGAACCGGAGTTGGGTTAGGAAACCGTTGGCCTCCTGGTCGCTCGTCGCCTGGGGAAAGAAAAGACGAGAAGGAAAAGAAGAGCAAAATAAAGAGGGGATTTGGAATGAGAATAAGAAAGAGTTAATTAATTAAGCAAGAGAAACCTAAAAAATAGAGCGAACTCTGTCTTTCCTTCACGAGTATTTGGATGGACATACCGCGGATCGAACGCGGGACCGTCTGTAATCAATGGGTCATTGCAAAACAGAAATCATACCACTAGACCATATGCCCGTAGACTCTTGTTAAGGATATCTTCTCAGCCACTCGTTATCCGACTCGGGTGGGGGCAGCTGTACCTTTGCCATTTCATGAGAATAGGGGAAAAAAAAATAGGGGAAAAAACATGAGAATAGGGAACAAATAGGGAACAAACAAAGAAATGAAAGAGGAACTATTCCTAGATATCTATTATTATTTAAGTTTTTATAACCTAATAATAGAAGTGTGATGGGACTCGACCTTAGGTATGCGATGGTATTGAAGTGGTTGCGCGAAGGATCGCAACCATGGGGCAGGCAGGGCTGTCCAAAATACAGCCCCGACTACAAGCACTGACCATGCAGGGTGGTATGACCCTAACCCTAGCTACGGATACAACATGGCAGTCACAGGCAAAGCCTGTGACAAGTTCTATTAATTAACTATTAACTATCCTTATTTGGGGGGAGAGTGAGAAAGAACACTAGGGTACTTGCACCTCTCTCTTTTCCACCCCACTATCCCCTTCCCTTTCCCCTTCCCTTTCCCTTTTCCCTTTTTCCCTTTCCCTTTCCCTTACCCCACTATCCCTTTCCCTTACCTCACTACCAAATCCGACAACCACATAGACAACCTTATGATTGGAACTACTCCGCAACTCATCACGCTACAAATCAAAACACGGTTCGTAACGCAATGCCGCACGTTGCTCTCCGGTTCTCCAGCTGGAAAAGTTCTGGGTCCGAATTCTCAGCGAGATCGTATTCATTTTTTCCAAAATACACCTGGGAAAAAGTTGCTTTCTTGATGCATCTTAACCATGACTCCACTATTCCCGTGGAGGGAGCAGTTCATTTTTACCTGGTTTAATGGAGTGTCCCACTCACCTTTTAGTATGTGTGGTGGGAAAGGGTAAGTGGTGAAAGGATCTTAGTCGTGGGTGTCCGGTATTGCCTTGTCGTAGGTGAGTCCTTTTACCCTCTCTCCTATCCTCCGCCCCCTCTTCCGTACTAAGTTATTTTTTCTTTTTTTTCC